CAGGCTACCCATTGGCTGAAATTTGCTGGGGTGTGTCTGATTCTCTTCTGCAGATCTATGTCTGCCAGCTGTTGATCTTGAGAGACTCCACTGCCATCCTCAACATCTTTGTTGCTTCATCACAGGAGAGGGCAACCATCTCCAGGGGTACAATGTGTCTGGGACCTTAGTCAGGAGACTGACTACTGATGGTGTTTTGAGCACTAACATGGTTGGGTGGCTACAGGGGTAAGGCACCTGGTGCTGGAGGGAACAGAGACTGTTCCCTGAGGTTTCTGCGTGTTGCCGCCTCCCTGACACCTGCGCTGAGAGCGCATGGAGCCGCTCAGAATGTGTCCTCAGAGGAACAGCTCAGCGGGTGGCCTGGGAGCTGAGAGACTTGTTGATCCGGGGTCTCTCCCTGTAGGAATTCTTTCTGAAGGCGCCCCTAGCCCTTTTGGACCATATGACCCCTGAGGAGGAATTAGCCATGTGGGTAAGAACCCCGTAGGTGCCCATTCTTGATGCTGGCACCAGATTCCAGTCAGAGGAATGGACACCCCATGGACACAGTCGGAGATTGATGGACGATCTCTTAGTGGCTAGTAATCATAAGGGAATACCTCACTATATAAGCCATTGACCAAGACAAATTAACCTGACTACTTTCTCAACTACTTTTTTATTACATAGATTGAGAGCCTTTGTTCTTAGAGAATTGCTAGCTTTCTCACCTCCTGTATCTGCTCTATTGGTATGTAACACATGTAAACTTTGATTCCCTTCTCCTCTAATCCACCTTACTGCATTGCCGTATACCACAAAAATTGCATTCCTTATGAAATCACTTTTGTACCCGAATAAACGTCTCCAGATAACCATCAGTCACTGGTCCATGTTGTTATTTCCAGGTATCAATTCAAGTTTGATTTCATGAGCTATCTGCTTGGAACAAGAACAGGACAGCTATCTTCAAGCCCTGGTCCAGCCTGACTGTGGACACTGCATGGTCCTGCTGAAGCTGCAATTGTACGGGTGTTCACCCACGGACACGTGGGCTTGCTGACAGCAGAGCTCTCTTTTGGGTCCTATGGGACTTCTCACTTCCTCTGGCTTATCCCCCAAGGCCTTCTGGTTCTAGGTGCTCCGCATCCTGCTCTCATAAACAGAGGTTTATACTGTTGAAGAGAAACACAGAAAACTGTAGAGGGTATTTTCCGCACAAGCCACAGGCATGGTGTGTGAAGCACAGGGAAGTGTCCCAGAGGATGTCTAGACAGAAACATTTGATTCTGGCCTTTTCTGGTTCTCAGTGAGCTAGAGTTAGTCTGGACCTCCTGCTTTATCACATAAGTTATGTCCCTTCCCACTTCCCTCATCTCTCCTTCTCTTTCTTTCTCTCCTCTTTCTTTCCCCTCTTTCCCTCCCTTTAATCCATATTCCCTGACCTCCTCTCCACTCTCCCCCCACTTCTCTCCACCTCTTCCAGTTTCTCCCCAACTCCATTCTGCCCTTCCCATCTTCTCCTTGTACTAAAGTTTCTTACAAAATCACAGATAATTTAACTTCTTCCCCAAATTTTAACATGTATCATCTTATACAAGGGAACTCTTGGTAAAGAAGTAACTGATTTAACTAGTACATTCTTCTTATTATATATTTTTTTGAATTTGGGGTCACACCCAGTGATGCACAGGGTTACTCCAGGCTCTTCACTGAATAATTACTCCTGGCGTTGCTCAGGGGACCATATGGAATGCTGGGAATCGAACCTGGGTTGGCCTGGTGCAAGCCAAACACCCCTACCTGTCACGCTATTGCTCCAGACCTAACTAGTACATTTTTGTCTATCTTCTTGGTATATATCGCAGAAACCAAGAAAGCAGATGGCAAATGGCTGGATGATTGGGAATGAAGGTAACTTGCAGGAGGCCAAATAGGGCTAATGGCTGGGGCCCACCTTTATGAATGGGTGGGTAAAAAAGCTGGATGGAATGAGAGTAATCATTAGCACAAAGAGCTCATCCTCGCTCATCCCTTGGGCTTATTCTACCTGATTGTTCTTTTGAAATTTTCCACATAGGACTATAATATACCAAACCTTCCATCAGTTGCATGAGGAGAAGGTAAGGAGGCCCTGGTAATGTATGTTGGGGAAAAGTGTCTGAAATCTAAACCAGTCCCAAAGCAATGAAGACCTTTAACACAAAGGACTCATCTCAGGAATCCAGAAAGTCATTAAGATGCAGAATTCCCAGCTTTTGAAGAAAATGCAAAGAATCTCAGAGAAGGGTGTTAGTTGAACCCAGGGGAGAGACTCCACCTCTGCTACAAATTGAGAAGAAGAATATAAGAAGAAGGCTACCAACTGCTCCCAGATCTTTCCTTTTGCAACCAACATAGCAACAGACTGGGAGGTGGTGCTGCAGTTTGGGAAAACTATATAAACGAACTTGGAAGAGGCAGACACATACTTGCTGCCTACATCTCCCTCCTTAATAAGAAGTGGACTAACTCTTTTGCTGATTTTCCTGTTCTGGGGAAATGATCCCTATATTTGTGCTTGCGATCATACGGACACTTGCCATTCTGGAGAAGCTTGTAGTCTCTTTTAAGAATGAATTATTATCCTCCTCTCTCCTTCCTTTCCTTTATTAATCCAATAAACTTGTTTGACTTCACTACTTATCACCTCTTAAAATTCTTTTCTGTAAGGGAAAGGTGATAGACCCCAAAACTGGGTTAAATTAGGACTGATTCTCTTTGCTGCAAAGAGCAATTCCTGGCTCTACTCTGAGTCCACATTTCCCCAAGAATTCAGGTGGCAAGGTCACCTACCAGGATGGGCAGAAGAAGTGGACTTCAGTTGCTACTTGAAGGGTGCCTGGTGAGGCTGATGGGCCATGAGTGTCCATGTTATGCATGGGATCATCACAGACTTTCATGAGTCCTAATTTTCCCAGGTTTCCCCTGTGATGTGGTAAGTTGAAGGGGGAGAGACAGATTTCCTTCTAGAGGCTGATGTCTCTCTCCCCATCTCACATAGAGCACCTATGGACTCAACTTACTCTTGTACTCATCCACTGGTTGGGGTTGAGTCTACCATTGACAACAAAATATTTGCAGGGACCTGGCATATGAGGCCAGCTGTCTGGGGTAGAAGCATGACACAGGTCAAATGTGTTGATGAATGGGGCAATGTTGGATAATATTGGGATGTCCTTGTTGCTCCCACAAGGAACTTAAAGCTTATTGAAGTACTCCCACAACAGTACCTCTGAGGCACACACAATTCCATCAAGCACTAATGATCCTACATTGCTTTTCGCTTCCCTTTATATCACTTGTGTGATTTATTTAGCAATGTCCTTTCCATATAGACACAGGAAGATAATTTATGCTATACTTTGTAAAATGAGGGTTAATTGACTCCAAAAGTATTTATTCCCGGGAATCCATATTTACTTGATTTAAGCCTCAATTGCCCTTAGTTCCTAGCACTCTAAGAGCAGGTTCCTGACAATGGAACTGGATGGACCAATGGAAAACTGAGCTACCATTGGCATCATTATGGGCCAGGCCAAGTGCCATCATACTTAAATACAAGTTAAGAGCATGCATGTAAAACTCTGTCAATGACCCCAAAATAAGTACCTGAATAAGGACCCTACTGCAGTTGGGAAAGACTAACCTGGTCTGAGGACTGTGGTCTGGAATATATGGTGACATGTTCCCAGGCAGAGAAAATCTTTATGCATACTATATCTCTTACTGTGTTCATACAAAATGACATTGCTAGAAATATTATAAGAAGTAAATGTGCTATGATTGTTTAAATAGATTACTAGCTGAGGAAAATAGAAAGCAGTACACCTTGAATGGAATCCTGCTCTTGAGTGAATCTCCTAGTAATCTGGCGTAGTGAACCCTCAGTTGAGATTATTTTCCTTGAGTTAAAGGAGTAGCTTTACCTCTGTTTGTTGTTATGATAATGTTCAAGCCCACCTTTGTGTCTTCCCACCCATCATGATTTTGATATTACTATTCTACAAGGGGCAAGAGGGGACAAGAAATTCAGGACTAGAGGTTGGGGACTAGATGTTGAAGATTAGAAAGTGGATGATGAGATGTTGAAGACCAGGAAGGGAATTGGGACTTTGGGATTTTTGGATTTAGAGACTACAAGGAAACAAGGATGATGGAACTAGGATGATTTGGACTACAAACAAAACTATGAAGAAGACTGTGCCGTGAGAAGAGAGCTCAGACTATGTGGGAGAAAGTAGAGAAATAAATTGTCTAACAACCAGTCTGGGTCCAAGTTCCTGTTTCTCCATTCCCCTTGTCCTTCATTCACCGTTGCCCGACATCTGGCTTCTGAAAATGGTTCATGACCACCAAATGCTCTCGTACCTATTTAGACAAAACACTTCTTTTTTCTACTGGAAACTCACAGGGTAGGGCTGTCCAGCAGCTCTGAATTCCCCACACACACCTGGGATGAGGAAGTGAAGACACTATATCGCAGGGGTTACTGCTGCCTCACACACAGCTGGAGGTACTCTGGACCAGCAGGGATTGACAAAAATTGAGGAACTAAAAGCGATGAATTGAAGAATTCAAAACATTCAGGGTTTAAAATGTTTTTTTATTTTATTTAATTTTATTTTTTGGCCCCACTGGACTATGATCAGGACTTAGTCCTATTCTACGCTCAGGGATCATTCAGGTGTGGCTCAGGGAACCATATGGAAAGGTGGGGATCAAACAAGGCCCGCTGGATGCAAGGCAAGGGCCTTACCCAGTGAACTATTGCTCTAAGTAATAAAAGCAATGTCAAGAGTTTTGTGTTTAGGAAGGATAAATGAAGATTCAGGAGCATAGAGAACCACCCCTTATTTGAGATCATGATCAGAGCAGGGAAATTGCCTGACCCCCAAGCCTCAGTTACTGAGCACAGTGAGGGTGAGCACCAGGCCAGGGCAGGAGGTTCTTACCTCACTTCCCCAGTGTCTGTGCCACTATGGACACTGCCAGCTGCCCTCAATGCTACCAGCTGCTGCACAGTAATAGTCGGTCTCATCCTCAGCCTGGACTCCTGTGATGGTCAGGGTGGCCAGGTTGCCAGAATTGGAACCAGAGAAGCGATCGGGGATCCCTGAAGGCCGGCTGCTTTCAACTATGACCAGCACAGGGGCCTGGCCTGACTTCTGCTGGTACCAGGAAACAGTTTTGCTTCCAATTTTGTCTCCTGCACAGGTCATCTTGGCCTCCCCTCTCGGGCTCACCGATAATGAGGGCAGCTGATTCACTTCATAGGAGGATACAGAACCTGCAAGAGAGAAGGAGAGGTCAGGAAAAGAGGAATCTCAGTCTACCAGATCCCAATCTTCATTACCTGTAGTAATTCTGTGGGACCCCAACCCCCAAACCCTCCCTCCATCATGGTGATGGGAATCCTACCCCAGTGCCCTACTGAGCTCAAACTCAGGACCAGGATGGTCCCAGAGCAGTGGGCCTGAGGCTACTGTGAACCTGGACACATCACCTGTGCAGTGAACAAGGAGGCCTAAGAGGAGTGGGGTCCAGGCCATGGTGAGGGGCTGGGATCCTGGCACCTGAGGCTGAACTCATCCTTGTCCCTTCTTATCCCCCCAGAGAGAGAACTGCTGGCTATGCAAATAGGACAGGCTCAGGCTGCTGCTTGGGGTCTGTGTCTACAGAAAAGGGCCCAGACCCTAGGGACACAGGAAGGGGCAGGACTGGCCCAGAATTTCTGACCTGCTGCTTAGTGAGATCTCCCTGACTATTTTGTTTCTCTGTTATGGGAATTTTGTCTGTTTAGGAGGTGGTTTAATGCATTGATACATTGTCTTTTCAGAATAAATAATTTGATAAATGATAGGAAATAATGGTTTAAATTACAAGGATTTCACATTAAAATATTTTTTATAGTTGGTTTTCTTCACTTTTGGGAATTTCATACAATAATATAAATATCCTTTATTCCTTCATTGAAGTAAAGGATAGAGATCCCTTCTTGTTATCAGATACCAAGGACATTAAAATGATAAAATGACTAGATAGATGGTAAATATTCTCTGGACCAAAAATATTTCAGACCCCGTGGCTTAAGAGATAATACAGGGAGGAGTGTGATTCCCCATGCAGGGCCTGCCCAGTTTGACCCCTGTCACTACATATTGTCCAAGAGTGCAAAGTCAGAATTCCTGAATATGTACAGGTATAGTGCGCTCACACACACACACACAAACACACAAACACACACACAGACACACACACAGATTTAACGTCCTATGTGCCTTGTTTGAAAACAAGTCTGCTTAGATTACCAGCACTATGTGTTCCTGGACCCAGCATCACTGAGGAGAGCTCTGGATTCCCCACAGCACCCACCTAGTGGCTGACTAATCTCTGACACCACACAATTTGATCAGCATCACAGTTCCTCAAAACTTCTTTAGAATGCAGTCACAGTTTCCCCAGTTCCCCACGACTCCCAACCCCATTCATACCACAGCCCTGCCACTTGCCACATAACAAAGTTCAGCTTCAAAAGGAGTCAAAGAAAAGAAGGAAGTAAGGAAGAAATGAAGGAAGAAGAAAGAAAGAAAGAGAGAAAGAAAGAAAGAAAGAAAGAAAGAAGAAAGAAAGAAAGAGGGAAAGGGAAAGAAAAAATATGCTCATCACTGTCAGGTGATAGGAAAATAAATAACTTTTCCTTAGGTATGAGTTTGATTACTAAACACCAGCACCCTGGACATTTACATTCTACTAAGTTAGACACCCTGTCACCCTGACCCACCCCAGCTCCATTCGACCCCATGAGTCTCTGCTGCCCCCTCATGGTTAATCTGTGAAGTGGGACGGAGTGGGAAGTATTAGCAGAAAAAAAGTCAGGGGAGATTCAGATCACACAGGGCTCAGGGGCTGAGTCAATATCTACTGGGAGCATCCAGGGAGGAGGACTGAGCATTTTCTCGGTGGACCCTGGGTTTCATGGGCTCAGTTTGCAGGGAAATTGGCAATATGATTAAGGACACTTATTGAATTGAATTGAATTGAAGGTTGATTCAATGATCCACTGCTCAGGGCCCAGAATTAGGGTTATGTCTATCAAAGACAGGCCATTGATTTTGGATGGTTTTCACATTTGGAACTGAAGCTTTCTAATTTTCATATGATAGGCATGAATTGTCAATACATAGCACAGTGGTAGGGTGTTTGCCTTGCACACGGCCGGCCCGGCCAACCTGGGTTCAATTCCTCTGCCCCTCTCGAAGAGCCCAGCAAGCTACCGAGAGTATTTTTCCCACATGGCAAAGCCTGGCAAGCTACCAGTGATGTATTCATATACCAAACACAGTAACCACAAGTCTCACAATGGAGATGTTACTGGTGCCCACTGGAGCAAATTGATGAACAACGGGAGGACAGGGCTACGGTGCTATCGGCATGAAGGTATTCTCAGATAATAGATGAATAATGGTTCAAATGCAACTGTAGCACTGCTGAGGATGAAACACATTTCTTTATAAAATGCAGTGAGATATATATTTACAAAACCATTCATAATTGAGTTTCAGTCATACAATGTTCCAACACCCATCCTTTCATCAGTGCATGTTTCCACCACCAATGTCCCCAGTTTCCCTCCTGCATGCCTCCTCCACCTTTCCTCCAAAATTGTTCTATGCTAGACACTCTCTCTCTGTTTTTCTATCTGTCTCATTCCTTTTAGGCAGTGGTTTGCAATACTCTTACTGAAAAGGTATTGTGCGTTTCTCTTTCTCCCCTTTCAGCACTTAGTTTTTGCTCAGAGTGATCATTTCCAACTATCATTGTCAAAGTGGTCCATACTCTGTCCTAACTTTACTTCCCTCCCTTTTTGTGGCATGCTTTTTTCCATGAGCCATTTTCCCCGTCTCTTTTTTCTATGTCTTTGTGTATTATTGACACATTGTATTGTTGTTTTTGAATTTTTACATCCCAAACTAGTGCCATCATTGTATGTTTGTCTGTGTCCCATTGTCTGATTAACTCAGCATGATCCTCTCCAGGCCTATCCATGTCTCAGCAAATATTATGACTTTATTTGTCCTAACAGCCATGTAGTGTTCCATTATGTAGATGCATCAGAGTTTTTTCTAATCTTTTTTACTTTTACAAATTTTATTTTATTTTTACGATGTTGTTCACAATCCTTCGGCAGCAGTGCTGGCTGATGCAGCAGAAGGCGAGAAAAGCATTCTCAATGCCCGACTGTCTTTTGCCAACTACAAGACCAAGATGACTGCCCTTCGACATCCTGATGCATCTATCACATCTTCCAGAAGGGCAATGGAGAAGATTATCCATGACTTCTACTCGGATCTCTTCGATAGCCACATCCACCTGACCACATACCAAATTCCGCAGTATGGATGTTGTTCCCAACATTCTCCCTTCCGAAATTCGATGCTCCGCATTGTCGGTGAAGATTCGAACAGCACCCTGCCCAGACAAGGTCAGACCTGAACACCTGAAGAACCTGTCATCAGTACTCATCAATTTTCTGGCTCAGCTCCTCACATGCTATCAGTCTGAATGCAATGGAAAACCTGAAGGACTGTACTACTGTACAAGAAGGGAGACATTCATGACATTGCCAACTATACCCGATCTGCCTGTTGTCCATCGTCTACAAGCTGTTCACTGGAGTCATCCTGAATATGATTGGCAGAGCACTAGATGAAGGACAACCATATGAGCAAGTCGGGTTCCGAAAAAGATTTAGCATAATCGATCATATCCACACAGTAACCAAGCTCATTGAGGTTTCTCAGGAGTTCAAGATGCTGCTCTGTCTAATGTTCATTGATTTAAAGAAGGCCTTAGATTCTGTTGAGACTGAATCGGTCATTGAAACCCTGACCAAACAGGGCGTTCAAACTCAATACATCAGGATCCTCCAAGAGCTGGATTACAGATTCACTACCAAGATCTCACCATTCTACAAGGAAGTGATCATCCAGATCAAGAGATGTGTTCGGCATGGTGAAACAATTTCACCAAAACTTTTCAGTACCACCCTCGAGAATGTCATGTGATGACTGGAATGGAAGAAAGGGGAGTAAAGATAGGTGGTTGGCAACTACATCACCTCTACTAACTGATGACATAATTCTAATAACACCAAACATTAGCTAAGTGGCAGAAATGCTGGCTGACTTTGACCATGAGTGTGAAAAAGTCGGATTACTTCTAAATCTCACAAAGACAATGTTTATGAGAAACAGTCTCATTACTGATGTTCCATTCGCTCTCAATGGAACAAATATCTCTGAATACAACAGTTATGTGTACTTAGGTTGAGAAGTCAACATGATGAATGACCTGGTACCTGAGGAAGAGAGCGGCTTGAAATGCCTTCAGGAGCGTTGAAAAAATAGCTAAGGAAACGAAGAACCTCTGGCTCCGGGTATATCTCTTTGATTCCATTGTTCCTCCTGCATTATCATAGGACTCAAGACCTGGGCCCTACAAAAATAGAATGAGAACGCTGTTCGGATCTCCAAAAGAGGAATCGAAAGAGTTATTCTTAGAGTATCACACTTCACTCAAATGAGAGAAAGAATCTGGAGTTCCAACCTCTGTCGATGATCAAAAATCTGGGACGCTGTCTCATTTGCCAAGTTGTTGAAAATCAGATGGGCTGGACAGGGAATGTGATTTGGAGACAATTGCTAGACTGGAGCCATTATCGACTGGATTCCACGGAACATCAAAAGATCGTGGCCGCCCACCTATGAGATAGTCACACTTTTTCATTAAGACCCTGAACGATTGGTTTGAGGCTCTTCATGTTCCTAGAAAAAGCAGACGCCATTGCATTGGGCTACACTAGTACAGGACAGGGACGAATGGAGTCATTATTGGCACCCACTCGAGCAAATCGATGAGTAACAAGATGTCAAGTGATCAAGTTGTTCACAATAATTGGTTACATTAAATATTCCAACACCTATCCCACCAACAGTACACCTTCCCACCACAATATTTCAACTTATTTCACCCAATTTCCAAAAGCAGAACATAATAATATCCTTTTATTGCCTATTAGGAATAATCCTCTGTAGGAAAACTTTTTTGTCCTTTTTCTCTTGCCACAGGGAGCTTAGGTTTATCAGGTTACACCCATTAGAGTGCTCCTAAGTCACTCCCATTCCTCTGTGCTTATCTGTAACTTCTCTGTCCTCTCTTCTCCAACTGGTCTATCACCTTTTCCTCTAATTAGATTCTGTTAACTTGTAAGGTCAGATTCTTCTGGGACACTTGACTTGTATTCATGTATTATCTTTCTCCTCTCCTTATGTCTTTTGAATAGTTTACTTTAAAGCAATGTCCTTTTTTTGTATAGAAACAGGAAGACAGCTAATATTATGCTTTTGTAACTTGGGAGTCAATTGGCTCCGTATAATATTCAGTCCCAGGCAACTGATTTCTTGATTTAAGCTTCAGTTGCCTTTAGTTCCTAGCATCTCTAAAGCAGGGCCCTGACGAGGGACTAGATGGACCCCGTGCAGGCTGTGAG